ACAGTACTTGGCTCACGGTGTAAATTTAGAGGTGTAGCCACCTATGTATTAATGTCACATTGTACTACAGTACTTGATTCACGGTGTAAATTTAGAGGCTTAGCCACCTATGTATTAACGTCACTTTGTACTACAGTACTTGGCTCACGGTGTAAATTTAGAGGTTTAGCCACCTATGTATTAATGTCACTTTGTACTACAGTACTCGGCTCACGGTGTAAATTTAGAGGCTTAGCCACCTATGCATTAACGTCACTTTGTACAACAGCACTGAAGCTATTTTACAAGATCTAACTTAATTAATAAGGAAATAAAACGACGATTTTCACTATGACAGATACAGAACAAATCCAATTTGTTTTGGGATAAATTCGCCAGCCATCCGTACATCGCTTTACACGTCCATTTTTAATCAAAGCAGGGCTTCCAAATTGACCATATGTTAACAGCATGGTATGTGCATTATTTGACTCGAGCCTTGTGATTTATTTACTATTATTTTGTACCATGATAAACCATGTTTGTCAATTTCTCGCCATTTAGTTCCACTCTACTGAGTCTATTCATTCTACCAGCGAACATTATTTGTCCTGCGTATTTCTCGCTATTAATTTTCATATTAATATGTAAATCGATATTTTTAACGATTTCACAATTTCATGGCAAATCTCATGTACGTGATGAGTGTGTAATGAAAAAAAAACAATAGTCTGAATGCGGTGTTCTTTAATTGCATATTTTTAATATATAGAAAGAGACAAACCGACAATTGATTCATGACTAAAATTGAGCCAGCAGAGTACGGTTCTTCGATGTGCTATACACATTAAATCATGAATAGGAGAGCATCATCACATAAATACGATTATTGGTAAAAGAAATCGATCGCATGCTTTGAGAGTTTAAGGTATGTCGTGATTAACTGATTGTTCTACAATATGACTCTGTTGTCAATGTAATGCAATGTTATGCCGAGTTGGTTCAAAATCTGCAAAGATATTTATTATCCGACTTAAAATCTACCATCCATTTTCAAACGAATTGTGATCTAAAATTATAGTGTGTACGATTAAAGCGCGTTTCGCAATATGTTTCCATTGGTAATGTAGTATAATATTACGGAAGGTGTACGTTGTAATACAATGATCAACGTATGGTTTAGCATGATATAGCGTAAAAACTAATGACCAAAATATAGTTCCGGTAGTCCAATAAATAGATTGCATACACGGAGACCTACAATCTAACATTGTAATTCTAATTTTAAATATTGGTAATCTTGTACAAGATTTGTTTGTTTTTTTCAACGCCGTCCCGTGATAGTGTAAAGTTTTATATCATGTATTACTTGCTCCAATGAAGGAATTGGACTTCGGGGTAATTAGCGAATCAACGAATCGCAACCTAAAATATGTACGAGCTAATGTTATATAAGGGAAATCTCATTTAGATACGCGAGAAGAAAAAAAAACAACGATTACCCAGCGTTCGATTGGTCACTTTGGGACAACTAAACACTGCTAAAATGTGACAGTATTTAAAATACTATATAAAAATAGAAGGCATGTTTTAATATTTCCACCCAAATTACCTCTTTATTTATATTTATCTATTATGACAACATGAAAACATCCAGTTTAGTTTATATGATACTAAAATATATACATGATTTCAACTAGCTATAAAACTTTACATGTAACTGACTTTTCACAATTCATGTTATGCATGAACCAAATACAAAATTAATAAGTCCCTCCTGGTGCCACTTCTGCAATATCAAGTATTCTTGATGGAAACCATATCGTGTTTTGAAAGACCCGGCTGTAATATTTGTAAACTCTCCAAAATAGTGATAGGGAACAAATCTGCCATCGGGTCCAGCTGGAAATGGATAGAATCCATATACACTGACTTTATCACAGAGACATACAGCGACACCAATGGTGAGCATTCCTGCTGTTGGAGCTTTTTTGAATTCCATTGCTCTGGAATAAAAAAAAAACATCATGATAAAATGTAAGATCTTTTTTTTTCACTTTAAATACAGTTTGCAATCAATCAAGCTGAGAGAAAGAAGCTTAAAGATTGAAAGATTAGTACGTTTGTGAAGATTTTGTTCACAAATGGAGTCGGAACCTACGTAGCAACCTCACGTGCATACATATACTACTTTTTAAGATATAAATAACAAACAGCAATAGGGCGGGGATTGTCATATTTGCCAGGTATAATTATACAGAAAGGCGATTTGAACATTTATCAGAAACATTCCCCAGAGAGATTTTATACTTCCTACTAAATACCCGAGCGTACCAATTTATATCATCGTCATAACTTACTCATTTGTGTTACACGCCATAAGTATATATTTTCAATACTACAAAACAAACAAATAAACAAGCACACCCGGAAGGGTTATTCTCATACAATTCTCAATGATTATAACATTTTAGGTGATAAGTTAACGATGAGTTATGTCAAGATTTTTACAGCTGATAAACTCGGGTATAATTTCCTCCCCGCGATATCAATCCAGATGTGGCTAGGCAATCGGGATGTATAATATACATAATGACTAACCTTAATAAATGTGTATAGTTTGTTCAACTTCCGTGTAAGCCTTGGAAATGCAGATCAAATTTTGACTTGAGGTACTTGACGGAATATACCAGATTTGTTGTTCTTTTTGAAATTTAGAGAGTCGCTGTTCTTTTTTACATACTTATGAATGTCTTTAACTCTGGTTAGATTAATGTTGGTTACATTTGTCTTGTTGCCAACGTCACGACTGAATCCTTCAATTTCTGGAATGTTACACCGTATGACAAAGTCATTGGAGTTGATCTCGTCACCACAACTGCTGTTTAGAAGAATTCCACTGTTACCAACAACGGCACACGTCTTCTGTCGTGGTATCCTATGCACAGTCATATTTTTTCCTTTAATTGTAAATGGATTGCCCTTTGCAAAAAGTTTGAATAATTGTGTATTATGAAAAAAGTAAATTGAGAGTAAATTATTATTGTCATATTTATATATTACCTGCCTGTTTTTTATTTCTTTTTCTGTGATATGGATTCAGATTTTAAAAATGATAGTTTTACTAATGGAGAGTTTATTCACAATTGGCACTTGGTACATTGAATGACAATTTAAGACCACCCACCTTCGCAATGTGTTGAATTTTAAATTGGAACATGCTTCACATGATTTCGAAAAACAATCGAATCAATAATGTGTGCACCTTAAGGTCAATATCTTGTTGCCTCACCATGGATTCCAGGCATCATTGCGTGAATAAACATAAATAACTAAATATATGACAGATCCAAAAACAATTAGTGATAAAAACTTTCTCATCAATGTGGTTTTCATAATATAAGTTGCTGTATCTGGTGTTGTTTTAGTCGTCGTATATCCTGTAAAAAAAGGAAAAAAATATTTTCAGTTATCATATATTAATATGTAGATGTTACTATGAAAGGGACTAGAATGATGTCATTCACCCATCTGATGCCAAGTAGTTTAAAGCTATGCATAGCTTCCCCAATTTGTATGACACATTGAATGGCCCAAATTTATTTAAAATACGTTTAAGGAGATTCCAGCAAACCTTGTCATATTTTTATTATAATGATACCGAAAATGAAACATTAAATTTGAGTCACTGGATGATTGAAATCATTTCAAAAACTAATTGAGAGTCTTTCCAGTGTGTTTTAAGTTTAGCACTATATACAAAGGGATACCAACTCCCATAATGCATTGCATACATGTGCAGTAACGTGCTCAGTGATGCTAACTTTGAATGTGAGTGAGTGAGAGAGTGAGTGAGTGAGTGAGTGAGTGAGTGAGTGAGTGAGTGAGTGAGTGAATGAGTGAATGAATGAATGAATGATTGAATGAATGAATGAATTAATTAATTAATTAATCATTTCTTTATTCGGTTTACTTATGCTTGTAATAGTGCAGTGGCGGATATAGTAGTATGATCGTTTCTTATCATGTGTGCTTGTTAACAATTCCCCAATAGCGTCCAAACTAAGCAACGATCTCCGCCGTCTTTGGCTCTCACACTGTCATATTACACTACATCAGAACAGCCTCATTGCACAATTTTGATAGCAAAGCCATCATTCACTGTGACTCAATCACCCATGCCGTTCAGTTATAAATGATTTTGACATCACATGTTTTTTTGAATAAAACAATCGATACATTGATCAATTTGATAACATATGGTTGATATATGATGTTTACATACACTGACAATGGTTTCAACTGTAAAGACAAATTTAAGTATACAAAATAATCATTTTTTAAAACAATAAAATATGATTCAAACATCTACAATTTTCGGGGCTTTACAGGCGTGGACGTCCTATTCTGTCATCATGTTATTTAACAAAAAAAACGTACCATCCATTATATATTATACTTATCTACACGCATATATATATAGCCAGACGAGGTAAAACCCACGCGTGACCTTTGACGGGACAATATTATGGGATTTATTCACAGCAAACTGCTACCATTGTATGGGTTTCCCGCAATCTACTGAATTTTGTACGGGTTTGCGTGACTAGGGTGAGTTTCCCATGACATCGTCGATACATTTCATGTTTTCTATGACATCGTTTATATATTGTTGATTTTTCCCAAAGAAGCCTTTTAAACGAATGGCTAACCAACTAAATGTTGTCTATATTTGCTTGAGTTTGATGACCTCATTGTACAAAAATATACAACATATTTTTCTTGTTGGTGTGTATATTTGCCTGTTGTGGATGCCAACATTGGTGACATGCGAACAAGCTTTTCTCCAAATTTATTCTGGCAACAAATTTTCAATTTGCCAGTACCATGCTCTTGCATTTTAAATCTATTTATAATACTTGTTTTGAATACTGTTCAACCCAAGGTAGGTTTTGTACTCACAACCTGTCAATAGTGTATGTGGCGAATCAACAAATTATAGTCCCCACAAGTCATTTGTATAGTGGTATAGTAAGTATTTATTTATAGAAAGGATTTATATTCGGCAGTTTGTTTGCAAACACGTTTGAATCAATGCTTAACATGGTGGATCTTAGTGACATACGAGAGTACAATCTTGTGTTTGCTATTAATTATTTTTTTGGTTAAAAACTCTCGAACTTGGTAATACATCTGTTAATATGTTAGACAAAGAACAGGCTCAGCACACAACTATTAAGAGGCTGAAAACACTTTTCGATCAGTAGTGATAAGAAAGGACAACAGACTGAATAATAAGGGATTCAATACAAATTCGTGAGACATCAACTCATCACTCCAGTATCGTGGTTTTTATCTTATCTTACACAAGATAAACTACACTGCACATAATCCATCAACTGAAGACTGAAATCCAAGTCATTCTAAACAATCCTTGACAGTCACTTCTCGTGCACTATATACACAATAAACAAACAAAGTTGCTTAAAATCAATTCCAAAATTACCTAATAAACCATAAGGTATTTTGTAAGAGATCTCACTGAAATATCGGAAAAAACTTTATTATTGGGCATCTCGTTACGCATGACGCGCAACGTGGAACCATTTTGCCTATTCGGCAATTAAAGGTAATGTATTCAAATATAAAACCACAATTGATTGCACACAATGATTTTCGTACTATCATTCTCTGTGTCAAAAAACAGAAAATGGAAACTGATCCCAACTATAGAAGGCCTAAACCACAATATGAGAAATCAATTTTAAGAGACAAGCATATTTGATTTCCTATCAACATGCACATTTAATAGACAACAGCCACAAAATCACTACAGCAACTTCGTGTCAAACAAATTGCGATTGCAACCACGAATCAGCTCCATTAAATTCCCTATTTTATAACACATGCAGAATTAAAAGGCATCGTGTTCCACCACCCAGGCTTTTGTTGTACTTAAAAACTTTCACAAGCATACTTTATCAAATATTTTGAATCGGTTGCATCATAAACAGATAGCATTTTTGTTGTAGTATTGCCAACTTTAAACTGATCTGAAATTACCTAATCCAGACAGCTACTATATTATTATATGTATTACAAAAACAGATCGAGCTAATTTAACACTCACTCATGTTGTTATGTGAATACGTATAGTGCAGTATGTTTTATTGACACAAAATAATGTACATAATCAGATAACGACTGTTCCATAGACACATTTAAAACAATGCACAAATACATAGACTAGATTTGAGATCGGTCGAGTTGTGTTTGAATTGGTCAAAACTAGCACGATCCACTATGATTTGGGAACACTATATGATCTCTGGACTTTAGTAGAATATTTATTTTACTAGAAAGTGTTCATTTCCTGCATACTTATGATATTGGTTAATTACCAAATGTTTTAAGGTAGAAACCTATTCGTTGTTTTGTTTTTGTTTTTTTGTTATTTTTTTAAATTTAGTAAAACATCTCAAGATGATCTTTGGTGTATTATGTACAGCGATTCAGGTGAAATTCAAGGTAACATGAAACAGATTTTCTGTGTTACATTACCGTATATTTGAATAAATTTGTGCTAATGTTTTCCCAAAAATATTTATTTTTAAAACAAATTTCTATACAACACAAATTGAATTTTTTTTCACTTATTAAACTTCAATTTTGTTAAATAAAAACTACCCCATCAGTCATGATATATCTTTTTTTTTTACCAGACCGCAATTTCAGATAAGACATACTCACAACATTTATTTTGGCCCAGTTTCTTCGTACTATTTTGAGGAAAACCCCATAAATGGGTATGGACACAAGAAATCAACTAGTGAAAGGATGAAAATGGTAATATAGCATAATACTTAAGATTTCTGTGGAGTTAGGTATATACTACGAAGTTTGTTACATATTTCAACGGGATGTATGACTCTATTTGACTATACTATGACATTGAAAAAAAAACACTATTGTATTTAATGTTGTATTGGTTGACCATGGATACTATGTTCTGACACATCCATACGTCATCAACAAATTAATAACAAATAACAAATTGTACCCAATTCAATCAGCTAACAAACTAAATATTTCAAATTTGTCTAACTTCAGACAATAGCACTGCTCAATAGCCTTTCTTTCATTGTGTTTTTCATCCACAGGATGTGTGCTTAGACCAGATGCATTTAAACCATTCACGAGACTACGTACTAAGTGTAAGTTAGATTCTCTATTCAAAATGTCACTAGTCCCTAAATTAATTTAGAAACGTAATATTCAGATAACTAAACTAATACTATAAAGCGTCACATTTGTATTTATTCAACCTTGCATGCATATAGGGAAAGTAGATTTCTGTACAGGGTGATGCCTTGGAGAGCCTCAATACGCACGTTATAGTTTGCAATAAGGTACAGTTATTAAAAACAATCAACTTGAGATTACTAGCATCAGTATATATATATATATATATATAGTTGGTTAATTACGCACTGTGTTACAAGAGCTGGTAGTTCGCTACCATGAAATAAAAATACTCATAAATCTTCGAAATCCAGCAAGGGGGTTGGGTTACTGTTGTATTCATAATTCTGAATCAAAAATATAGAATCACCGAACTAACTTTTAAACAAAACGACTTTGAAAATTGATCAAAAAATGTGTGTTTTGAGTAGTTTACAATTAGTTCTTCAACACTCCATCATATCTCAAACATTTGTTTGGTGGCATGTACTAAAAAACTCATATGCAGTGTAATGAAGGTTCATATTGCGAAAAATTGAAGAACTTTGAATATTAATTTGCTGTTATTTATAGAATAATGTGTTTACATGGATTCTGGAAAATGATCCAAGATGACCGCTTGTATTATTTTGCATATGTTTTCTTGAAAACACATTCTTTCTCCGTAATAACTTTGAAAATGAATTACTTGCATGTATGGGAATCATCACACAACAATTTTTGAATGATTTACTGTGATCGGTTGTTTTGCTGTTTAAATAGTAGCAAGCTACTATAACTAGAATACAGTTTCAGCCATATGTTTGTTCAAACCTTGTAAAGTCTCGAACGTAGACTGTTCGCTCGTTTTGTTTACAATAAAAGGTATGCACGGTAATGTCACTCGCTGATGAGGTACGCAATGTACAAGAGGTGTGGAAATGTCACTTGTTCGATGATGGTTAATTAAAAGGTACTCGCAGCAATGTCATTCACTGACGATCTTCACGTGAACGCGAAATGTCAACACAGTCTTGTACGTCGATACGTCCGGGTTCAATCCGGGGTAATGTTGTCTGATACTCTAGGTGCCAACGACCTCAATTTGGCACTTTTTCAAGGACGAAAGTGCTCTTTTTCGTAAATAATTCTTTATTTTACCAGAAGTAATGAGGTGCAAGAACGACGCCCGCCTTTTTTATGGTCAGTCTGCTGCTATTCGGTAAAAGGGAATCTTATTTTCACCTGTGCAAGTTTACCTACACCCCAAAATGGTATACGCGGTTTATTAAACACAATAAGTCTGCGACATCTCGTCACATTACAGCAACAGAAAAGAAAATTACACTTAAGTTTCTGTGTAGACCATGTAATAGCGGAAATTAGATAGTAATAAATTATTCGACAATGGTGATAATGTGAAAGCTAGCAATTTCCTCAAGCTGAAAGGTTAAAAAGTCATCTCTAAAAAAGCCCGCTAAATTTGCACGTGTTTCAACAAAACAGGTCACACGGCCGTCAAAATAACTCTAATACAGATTAGCATAAGTTCTTTATTGACAGAAATTATACTACACCGAACTATTTAAAAAACAAAGATTTATTACCGAAAACAGCAATGTGGATGCGAAAAATTGCACAGTGAAGTAATGGCAAAGAAAAGTATGTAATGAAGTAATTATACATTTCTTTGATTAGTTAAGTAAAAAATATAAATACTAGTTAAAGTGTATTTCAATATGTAACCACCTCATGCCACTCATGAAACACAACATTGCCCCCATTTGTCTCTACAATAAATATTGAAGAATTGCCTGTGACTCCTGGATCTGCCATCGAGTTAGCTGATTCATATTCATAGGCGCGGGATGATCGTCCTTACACGGAGAGCAAGTTGATTTCATGAATGCAAATCCATTCTGGTAATGTTTTATTGGCATAGAAGATGTGCGACACGTGCACGATCAGGCATAATGATTCTGTGGAACTGCCAAAGTTAAGATAGATAAGGGTTGGTAGGTAAAGCCTCACAACAGGTCGTGTGTTTACTCAGGCTGTACAAGCAGCTCTGTGGTGTGGGAAGCAAACTTGCCTAAGCCTGATGTATGTCATCCGCAAATGGTTACAAACAGACTTGTCACGTTGGTCTACGTTACAGTTCTGGAGATCCTATAGGACACTAGCGTTTATGGTTTGGTTGTAGTGATCGTCAACAGTTTTGACTCGGGTCTTTCACATACAGTATAGGTTTTTATGTGATTAATAGAAAGATTCACACTCGAATGGTGACACCCTCAATCAACTTTGATTGTGGCTCTCTCTTTTATTTTTGTATAATTTTGCATAGTGTGCGACAACACCATTGTATTCTGATTGCCATAGGTTACAGCTGTAATCACATGAAAGCACTCAGTGAATGTAAACCTTATCATTCTCCCATCTCTGAGATTTAGTGCTGGAAAATATTCTATCTTGTGTAGGCGCTTGTCCTCATATTGGTTTAATTTAAACATCTGTGCCCGATCGAACACATTCATTTGAACAATTAGCTATTTAAATTAAAAACTTTTATAAAATAAACAAAAATTTCATCACAAATGCCTGACACTGATATGTGTATGGTAAATCTACATATTCTGTTAGTCTTATTATTATGCAAATGAGACAAACTGTGATGATTACTTGTCTGTATATATCAACAACAAAATAAGCCAATAAAGAATGGGTAACTTGACAAATGTGTTTATCTTTTTTTTGTCGCCATGAGATTTGGCGACCATGTAGTGGAGCAAAAACATATACATTATCGTTCAAATTTAATCATGAATTATTCGTACTAAGATGTTTTGTTTTGTTTGTTTGCAGGTAATACAACAAAACCAACATCGCATTTCTTAATCACATTATGAAGTACTTAGCGATAACTACATTTTCGTTGGTAATTTGTGTAGGATCTGTCGCATATATATCCATAAATATTATCTATGTGTGTAATGAGGAATGGCAACTGTGTCAAACCAACACGTTATCAAGGTTAAGGTGAAAACAAACAAACCAAAGACTTTCTTGTTTTAGGGATGTATTTTAGCTGAAACGTTTTGCATGTATTATTTTGAACCATGTGTATGACAAATGTTATATGGGTTAAATAAGTGATGTGTTTATTATAAACCTAGCAATAATCAAATAATCAAGTGATTGATTTTTTTCGAACATCAAATATTATATATAAGCACATGCCATATTTTCGTCTATAAATTATTAAAAATGAATGTGTTAATTTTGCATTCTAGGACGAAAGCAATGTATACTGGTGATTTCATAGAACAACAACAGACAATCAACTCTTTCACAAACATCACGGGGAATGAAAAGCAAACAGAAAACGCAACAAAACCTCTACTTATTGGCGACATTATGAAAATACGGAAGAACACAAAACAGAAAGGCAGAACCAAAAATACACTACAAAACGGGTATGCATCACTGGTAGCTTTAGTTATTCGGTTATTAACTGCACAATAAAATGCAACATTTTTGTAATGCTTATCCTGTTGTTTTATAGTACACAAGTATTCAATCTTTTCGCGCGGGGAAATCCATTCTCAATTATTGAGGAAAACAAGAATGTGAAATTGATTCCACGACAGAAGACGTGTGCCGTTGTTGGTAACAGTGGAATTCTTCTAAACAGCAGTTGTGGTGACGAGATCAACTCCAACGACTTTGTCATCCGGTGCAACATTCCAGAAATTGAAGGATTCAGTCGTGACGTTGGCAACAAGACAAATGTAACCAACATTAATCTAACCAGAGTTCAAGACATTTATAAGTATGCAAAAGAAGACAGTGACTCTCCATATCTCATTGACAACTTCCGGTATCTAAATAACACAATACTTTGGACTCTTGGTTCGCATCGAACAAGAAGACCTAAAAGGCTGGTATATTCCGTCAAATACCTTAAGTCAAAATTTGATCTGAATTTTCAAGTTGCTTACACGGAAGGTAAACAGAATTATACAGAGATTCTAAGGTAAGTCGTAATAGAAACAAGTTTTACAGGGAATTAGCTTTAAAATAACAGGCTTGTGAAGATAAAAACACCACATCTCATCTAAGAAGGCCCTATGTCAATTTTTTATTGTGTGCCCATCTGGTCAAAATTTGTCGAGTTATGACGAAAAGTAATTGTTTCACTACCCATTTTATCCTATTTTACCCATGCATCCCACAAATTCTAGTGGCTCGCCAATCAGTGAAACCTTTTCGCGAACTTGGATATATGGGTACCATCAATGATTCGTGGGACGACGGTATGTGAGGACGTGATATGTGACGAAGAAGTCACGTGAATTGCGATATTTTCACAAAATCGCAATATAAACCTATCTTTAAAAATGTTCAGCAATGACATAGGCATTTGGATTCAACCGTTGCCGCCAGAGGTGCTGGATAATAACAAATATAGATATATCTATTGTATGTAGACGTAGACATCCCCCCCCCCGACAATATTCGGAAAATCGAACTTTCTGAAAGTCGGAACGTCAGAGCATATTAATAAAAGAAAAAAGAAAAATAGGTCAATTATTATTATATTTTTTTTTAAATTATTTAAACTCATATTCGATGCACATCATACTTTTTCGAAATTCGAACAAAAATGGCCGATTGGCCGCGGTTTTGTGTACAAAACGTACAATTATTTAAACCAAGGCATGTCTGTCACATTGACACGGTCACTATTGGTACCACTCCATAATGTTGGTTCATGTAGAATAGTAGTTAATACATTTGTTTGTTATATACAAGTAAATGGAGTAACAGGTATTTCTTACTTTAAAGATTGACTATTTTAGAAATGTAGAACCAAAACTTTGATTTAGGGAATCAGTACATATAAACCATTCTCTATGAAGGGCTCGATTATGATAGCTATATAGATAAAGAGGTATGAAAAATACATTAAGAAGTGCAGCGCATATAGAAATATCTACCTGATTCGAGATTACAACAATAGCAACTAAGATCAACTGGCAGAACATTCATTTTTTTGTAATACAACGATTATTATCCAAATTATTCACCTTGTGTAAGAAAATGTGCATATGATAATTAATATGGTATTATATGTATGTATGCGAGCAAGGACTGGTATTACTATTAAGAAGCCGCCATCTTGTATAATAGATTCCGAATACATCGGGTTGCCCTTTTGAACTCCAAAGTTCTATTCCACAGGTTAATAGAATACAAATGGTGTAACAGTATTTAAAGTGAAAACAAATCGTAACATTTTATAATGATTTCTTTATATTCCAGTGCAATGAAATTCAAAAAATCTCCAACAGCAGGAATGCTTACCATTGGTGTCGCTGTATGTCTCTGTGATAAAGTCAGTGTATATGGATTCTATCCATTTCCAGCTGGTCCCGATGGCAGATTTGTTCCCTATCACTATTTTGGAGAGTTTACAAATATTACAGCTGGGTCTTTCAAAACACGACATGGTTACAATCAAGAATACTTGATATTGCAGAAGTGGCACCAGGAGGGACTTATTAATTTTGTATCTGGTTCATGCACAAAAGTGTGAAAATACAGTCATATGTAAAAGTTTATGACTGGTTGTTTTCGTTCATATATTATAGGTAATTATCAGTGTACTACTTTAGGTGGACTGAATAATTCAATATTATTTAAAACACACATATTGATTGGCACAAAAGGTACAAAAGACTGTTAAGACTGTAAACAAATGTTTTAGTCGCAAAACTGTGAAACAGACAAAACATAGGATACAGTGAAAATATCCCGACTTTACGAGAAACAAAGAAAAACATAGAGGGCATTTCCAACAAACAAAAATTTGTGTGTGAAACACATAATTCTATAACGTGGTTATTATAAATGAAATCGTGTTTAAAGAATATTCTGTGGTCTGTTTCATTTATATTAAAAAGTATCAAAAGCGGATGGTACAGAAGACAAAGACAAAATGAAACAAACAAAAATACGTGGTTCTCAATGGTTCTTTCAAAATTTGTCATAGGTCACTTATTAATAAGAATGATTTTTTTAAAAACATTGATGCCCGACTATTTGATTAAATAGATCATAGTTACCTGTGGGAAATATTTGACCCTGTTTTTGTAAAAAAAAAATTTATCTATTTTATTCGAGGGACAAAACGGGATATATTGGTGAAACTATCATGGCAATCATTAACTAAATTAGGGAAAACCAACAATTACAGTTTTATCACAAAATTTATTAAAATCATTTAAATTTACTGTAATCTATGTTTACTATTGGTTGGTTCATTCATGACTTATGTGGCCTAACCCATAAAATACGTGACAATATTGACAAAGAAAACATACATATTAATATTAATAAACAAACAAGACGTCCTATTGTTGCCAAATTGTTTCCACCCGAGAACAAAACTGCTGTATCAGAAATGTATCGAGGGACTCTTGTCCACAGGCCTTCAATTTCTGTCATGTGGATGGAATTTGACACTCTATAGTTATCTATTTCGATAGAAATAATTATTCCTAATTATTAATGTTCGCCAGCAGAATGAATAGACGTAGTGGAGTAGAATTGAATTGCGAGAAATTGACAGACATGATATATATACAATGAATAACGGTGAATAAATTAAAAGGCTAATAAAGCATACACCATGTCCATGTGCTACATATAGCCCTTCTTCGAATAAAAATTGACGCATTAAACCGTAAACAGTTATTGTATTTATTTTTAGACATAGTAAAATATTCCGGTAAGCTTCAGTCAATATGATCGTAACGCAATTTCACAAAAAGGTGGTTAGAAGTCAATTCTCTGTATGTCAGACTGCGATTATCATAACTAATTTCAATCGTAACTTTAGAAAATAATTTTTGTTGGGGTTAGTGACGTCGGCCATTTTGTCTACATTTGTCATAATAGTTCGGGAAAATTGCTGAAAATCGGAAGGAATTATTTTATATTTTATTACAACGCAATGTTAAATTAGTATTTATAGTTTACATTGTTATAATTGCTGTAAGTTAAATATTTCAGTGGGGCGATCGTGCGTTTGCGTCTGTTGATGTCCAACACAGTAACGAAATTTTGTACCCTAAAAATGCATCTCGGAAAGTTTCACAACTTGTTATGTACAGTGAATTTGATTCTGAGAATCTTCTGAGAGAACAGTGGTAGTTTAAACAATGTTAGTTTCATTTTCTCGAAGTTTGCAGAAATTTTTAGCAATAGCGATGTCGGCCATCTTGTTTTTTTCTGACCTCTGCCAGAGGCAGTGTAAATGACACAGAAAGTTGTTTGTATGGTTTCATAATGCAGTTTTATTCTGATTATTTTTTTATTATTTCAGTGTTCATATGCATACCAAATTATGAGAATGCTGTATAAATCGGGAACATTTGTTTGGAAAAAAACATTATAGTAGACCGCAATCACTGGAATCGAACAAACGAATACTAGTATGTAATTTTATCTAAATTACGATCGCCGTAACGTCGGCAGTATGCTAATTCCTTTTGTTTGTCAATGTTTACCGAGAAACACATCCTAACAAATGGACCGAGCGTTTTCTAACCGTTCTTCTACTAACCGTGGTTAGGGCAAATACATTGCCAATAAAAATAATGAATGTTTTCTGAAAAAAAAACAAAAAAACGTTTCAGTGTGAATATTCTTTATTCAATGGGTATTATAAGACTAAGCTAAGCATACACATTGTGAGATCCAGTTCACAAATGACCTTCTGGAGCATTGTGGGTAATATACGACGTCATTCGTCTCACAACATTGCACACAGATACGCAGGGAACGTCTAGTAGGCAACGCCTCTTGAAGCATCGTGGATAACATCCAACGTTACCAATCGAACACCTTCTCACACATATGCAGGTGACGTGGCCCTTCATGTGCGTAGGGAATAGTACGAGGCTACTGTCCTTGCAACATCATTGACACTGGCATTGGATACAGGCTGGGGGAAACCAATAACCAGTTTTAAAGTCTTAAGGTGAGTCTTGAAGACACCATGATGGCATATGTACAACGAGCGTATGAAACATCAAGCATGTTAACAGTAATGTGTTTGCTCGTTCGTTTCAGCAAAACTGCATGGTGCGCTGCACGTGTTTTCCAGACGAACCTAACAGCATTATGTATTCTGTAGTACGTCTACATTCGGCATTCTTCATGTTAACTAGACCGAATACATCAATTTAAAGACTTTACGCCTGACAGCATCATTACTTCCTTCTTAAAATGCAGGGTCTAATCCGATTTATATAAAATACTATAAATCACTTCTTGTAATCGGGATAATGTAAATGTGGATGGCAATAGCATGAACGCTTTCACAGCGCGTTGATTTTGGAACTGTCCTTAATTTAGACAATAATGGACGACGCACCTGCTCATAGTGGACGAAAGCACACCATAAAACCACGCACACACTGGCAATCAGAGTGCAATGCCCTACTCCTATTATGCAAGAAACGTTACGAGCGCATGTGGTCAAAACATGTCACCACGGCAATGTTCGTATGGGGTGAGATAAGTGCCAAAAACATTTCTTTTAGCATTTTACCATTATGTTCACATTCTTGTTTCATTATGTTCACATTTTGTATTATTTGATATATTAGTGGTCATGTGACCTTGGCCGCCATATTGGATTTACTGAAAATGACCAAAAACTTCTCTTCTTAAAAATGGCTCATTCATGTGATTAGAAATTTGCTTTGCTGCACATATATCCATAGCTCTACAAAGTTACTGAAGCAGATTTTTGAAAAATGGCTTCCTTTGGTAGCCATCTTGGATTTAGTAAAAAGTGAAAGTACGACATAACTCATGAATAATTTGCGAGATTGAAACCAAAGTTAGCATACAACATCCGTTCAATAAGATGATTATGTGTTTATAAAAATATTTTTCATGATTCAAGTAGTTTTGGCGGCTATCTTGAATTTATCAAAAAATGCAAAAAATTTCAAACAATTCTCTTCTTAAAAACTGCTTGCTTGTTTGACAAGCAATTTAGCGTATAGTATCTCTGTTGATAGGTCTACATAGTTACTGAAGCAGATTTTTGAACAATGGCTTCCTTTGTCAGCTATCTTGGATTTAGTAAAAAGTGAAATTACGCTATAACTCATGAACAATTTGCCAGATTTAAACCAATCCTGGCATACAACATCCGTTCAATAAGATGATTATGTGTTCATGAAACTATTTCCCACGATTCAAGTGGTTTTGGCGGCCATCTTGAATTTAACACAAAAATGCAAAAAACCTCAAAATATTATTTTCTTAAAAACTGCTTGCTTGTTTGAAAAGCGATTTAGCATATAGTATCACGATTAATAACATCAAACAACTCCTTAATTATGAATGACATTGGACAGATGACTATAAACGCTGATTCCAGTGTGGTTTATAATAGCAAAATACCAGAGGACTTCTTAAGAACATTGCATTCTAGCCATGAAACGTTCGTCAAATAATCACATTATAAGCAAGTGCAATTTGCCATGAGCCACGCAGGCTCGAAACCCGTCATCGCTGCTATGCAGCTATATTTTTATCATTATGTTCACATTATTTGTTAATTTTGTTTGCATTTTTACATTATTTCATCATTATGTTCACATTTTTATATTATTTTATCAATATGTTCACAATTTTTTTAATTTTGTTTGCATTTTTACATTATTTCATCATTATGTTCACATTTTTATATTATTTTATCATTATATTCACATTATTTTTTAATATTGTTTGCATTTTCACATTATTTCATCATTATGTTCACATTGTTATCATTTTGTTTTTTTTATTTTATCTTTATTTCATCATTATGTCAGCATTTTCATGTTATTTTATCCTTATTGTATCATTATGTTTTGGTTATGTAAGCATTTTTACATTATTTTATCATTTTGTTCACATTTATATATTATTTGTCATCATTTTAGCATTATGTTAGCATTATTTGACATGTTTATCTCTCTAATTATGATAATTTATGCATGGTGAACAAACTCCCTAGATCAGCGTAGGCGCGAGTACATACGAGTAGTTGTCATGGGTTTGAAACTACGCGTTTGTGACATAAATATATCTTGTATTTATATCCCAGTGTACTATACAGCATAAACATAAGTTTTATTTTTACTGCTGACTATTATTTATAGCGAATTTATAAAACTAGTCGAAGCTAATTATAATAGATACGTTAGGGGGTATTATACACACACGTGACAGGAAAAACGTCGTCTGCGCCCCTCGGCAAAAGTGGCCAAAATTGGGGAAGCATGTCAAGCTTTGTGCGATGCAAGTTTATTGTTACAGCAAGCTGTTTCAGTGACCGATGCTGAAACAGTGTCACGATCGCCGCTGCCGGTCGGAATGTTCAAGTTGGTTCAAATCCCAGGTTCAAATGGGAGCTCCTCGTCGCGTCCGGTGACTTCGGCGCATACACTCTCCGTGGCGTGTTTTATATTCGTGCAACTTGTGAGAGTAAAAGGAAAACCCTTTCCATAAGTCTTTGCGATTTAATCATCTTATTTCAAGCCGCAAGAGGCCGGTAACTAGTAATGAATCTAGCATTCTGATTGGTCCATCACTTTCTCGCTGCTTGTTCTATTCTATGGTTACCTGACGTCAGCGCTTACGCTCGTGGCCGTTCAGGGGTTTCCTTTTACTTTCGAAATTTGGGCGAATAAAAAAATGTTTCTTTTGTTATTACTTATTTTGCACAGAAACAGCGAGGAATGTTAGAAATATCTCAAATATGTAAGTCTAAGCAGACAGAATGTATGAGCATGGCTTTATTGTAGTATTACAGACACGTTTACGCAAAACGGAACTTGGAATGTTTTCAAATTACGTCACTCAGTCACGTGTCTTCCGGCCAGAATACCGGCCAATATGGCGATTACTAGTTACTTGCGTCCCGTTGTGTCGTCACAGGAAGCGCTGTCCCAGCACAGACCGCTGTGTCGTCACGGGAAGCGCGTTTTATGTGTATTGATTTATTCATCAATTTTCGTGACTAACAGTACTGCCCAAATTTTATTCAAAAAAAAAAAAAACGCAACTGGTCCCCTTATGCCGAACGTGATTATTCAATTTATAGACAGATCAAGACCTGGCGGGACTTGTTTGATTTAATCGGGCGTATGAACAGTATTTGAAATTACCGGTCGTCCGAGCCCATCAAGTGTTCTGCCAGGCCACAAAGTTTTGTAACGTTGTCGCCCGGTTGTCCACTTAATTTGTTTAAGCTCTAGTTTATTTGATGAGCGTCA